TTATTATTATTATTATTATTATTATTCTTTTACATTGAGACCATAAAAGGAGCAAGTGAGAGAGAGTGACCTTCGTTCCATTAATCTTCATGATCAACGTCCATCCTCCATCTCCACATCCAAAATTTTCCATGTGACAGAAAATGAGTACTGGTTTAGATTCAAGGAGCAACGTAATTTGACCACTTTCTTTAGTTCTGAAGGGATAACCGCATAGAATATAGAGTATAACAGTTAGAATAATTTGATAATATATTGTTACTTTTTATCGTAGTGAACAACAAAAGGGATAAAAGATGATCGTATGTCCTAGTTATTGGTTTCTAATGACATGTGTACTGTAAGAGTGTCAATTTCCGCCATAAACTTGAATACAAATATGACAGTAGCGAATAATTAATGTTTAAACTAGCGCATCTAAAGAACTGGTATATTGCACGAGTACTTTACCGCTTCGCTCCTCAGCAACTTAGTGCAGATTGCCTTGCATAACCGGCTAACAGGCTAAAGGTGCCGTAAGCAAGCTAATTTTCTATGATAAAGTAAGACACCAGATTGAAAACATCTGATCTTTGAATAATGTCTAATTTTTAATCTCCAACAAGAAATTATCCAAGCTCGCTTTTCCATTCTTCTTTCTTTGTTCTCACCTTTTTCAAGAGAGCCTTAACCGCAATTTTTTCTCGTAGCCTCTACGTACAGTGGCATTCGTATTATTCATCTACCTATGTATTGTCAACTATATTTTTTATTTGTCTTTCTATGATAAAGTCAATTCTTCCCTTCTTTTCTTTAACTTACATGTCCTTTTCATAAGCCTCTTTACAACTCGAAGCTGCAAGAACAAAAGTATTGAGACGGAGTCAAAAGTTTCCAATGACTATAATGTTAAGCAATTATTGATGAGGTTGAGCATGATATCATGAATCATCAGAACCCAGGTCTGAGTTAGAAGATATGAACTCGACATGACAAGGGAAATATCTGCCGTATATATTTTATTTATCACGACAACTTCAAACCCTCTTGTATATTCATTGAATGTTCTCGACCGATCAATTTTTTTTATAATAAGTCTAGTGAATAATAATTAACTTAATATGACTTAGAATTTTAAAGAAAGCCAAATACAACCCTTCTTTGTTCTTTGAATATTGATTCCAGTGTAAACACAGCCTCA